CATTGCATCCCTGAGGATAAAGGCTTCCAGAAGAGTAAGAGAAATTAAAAATTCACCGAATATTTTTAAGTACCATGGCATATAGCTGTCTATGTGGTGGGTGCTAGGAGAGTCACAAAGTTTAGTGAAGAGATAAGAAAAAGAAAATCAAAATGTGACTATTAAACCACCTTCTCAGATAAAGTACTTGATGTGAAGTTGCTTTGAGAACTAACTACTAAACCCTATAAAATGAAAAGTCAAATGACTATTACTATTCTTGTTAACTGGGAACATTCTAACTCTGACAAATTGAGCCATTTCCTTTTACACTTTTCATAATCTCTCAATAGAATCAGAGGCAGAGATCTTTGCTATGGCAGCTCCCAAATACCTCCTCTGTGGCTTAGAAGTCAAGCATCAGGTGACATAACAACCCCATCTACTGGCATAGAAAATGAAGTGATAGCATCGTGGTCTCTTCCAGCCATCATTTCATACCTAAATTTCTGGTTAGGTTAATGTCCATGAAACAACTTTTCTAAAAACACTTTGGGGGTCCTTTTGCCCTTACCATGCACACTCTACCTTGCATTGCATGTATTTGTACACAACATATTCCCTCCATTGTTCAAAAGCTACTTGAAGGCAAGGACTACTTCCTTCTAAATGTTATCTCAACATTACTAGCACTTATAACCACATCTTGAACATAGAAAGCACTAATTAAATGTTTGACAAGAGGCTGGCAGGCTGGGGAATGCTAATATCAATACGCCCTAAATAGGAATGGATTTTGTTTCAAAAGTTGATTTGGTAATCAATTGCTTGAAATTCACAAGACATATGGTAATGAGACTTCCAGATTATCCCACAAAAGATTCAAGAACACATTGTAAGGATTGAAATACTATACATTTATAATGGAAAAGTAGAAAAGAATCCATAAAACCTAAAGTGTTTTATGTCTTCTTGTCACCTTATATGACAAGACCTAGCAGATGAGGCAAGGGAAAAAAATGTTAAAGAGATATTAAACAGGGCAAGACTGCCTTAATGTAGAGAGAACAGAAAAAAAGATCTGAGAGTTATGTGGGGATTACAATGTAAATAAGAGTAAGAACAAGGAGTATACATAGATTAGAATGTACATTTCATCTCACTGTATACTGATTTTGCCCCTATTTGAGTATAGAAGCTGAAGAATTTGGATATTAAAAAACATCTTCCTTCTTCACTAGGTGGCATAGCAGATAGAGGGTTGAACTTGGCATCAGAAAGATCAGAGTTCAAATGTTACCCAGATACTAGCGGTATGCCCCCAGGGTCACTGAACATCTCTCAGCCTCAGCTTCCTCATCTGTAAAAACGGGAATAATAATGGCACTTAACTCACATTGTTGTAAAGATCCAATGACAAAATCTGTCGAAAGTGCTTTATAAAGTTTTGCTTTATAAATAAACCTTATAAATATTTTAAGTGCCATATAAATGATAATACTTATTATTACTGCTTTACTTATTTTGAATACCAGCTGTACTGATACATGGTCTCATTTATTAACAGTGATCATTTGATTTTGCTCTTAGGTAGAAAGCCACTGTCAAATATGAGGAAGGATCAGTGGATGACATGTGGTTATATTATATTTCAGTAGGGATAAATCTATGATTTCATGGGTATAGTGAACTCCCAAGTGAGGGGACTCCCTCTACCAATGCAGGTTAGCACCTCTTGCAAATTATAGACTTATAGAGTTAACTAGACATTAACCTCACTCCCAGTCATGCAGCCAGGATGTGTCCAGAGACATGACTTGAGCCTGAGTTTTCTTGGTTTTGAAGTCAGCTATCTGTCAATCATACTGTGATACCTTTATATCATTCTAAATAATACTAATTCTAAGTCCTTTATTCTGGCAAACTAGAATAGGAAATGAAATAGTCCAGGGACATAAAAGATGGCTCAAAATTATGTCCCTTACACATTGTGCCATTCAGGGATTTATTCTGGTTAAGGGACTTTTCTTTTTGGCTACAATACTATAGGGATGGTTAAACCAATATCATTCCTCTTCTAATGTCAATTACTTTAATAGATAGAATAGCGATCATGAAAGTCAGGTAGTGAACAAGAGGTTTTAGTGGGAAGTGGGGAATAATTTTGAAGACATTTCAGAAGAGAGCACACCAGGGAAAGGTTGTAGAACTTTAGATAATATAGGTTTGTTGCTTGGAACTCTTATTTCCAAAGCCATGGGATCCCTAAGGATAAGGACTTCCAGATGGGTAAGTGAAATTAAAATTTCACCAACTTTTTTCTGTGCAGGTCCTTGGGAGAAAGAGAAGAGGAAAGAAGTAGATTATGGAGTGAAGAATAAAACTCTAATTTGGTAATATTGTCCAGTGTTTAGATGATGTTGGATTTATTATTATTATTATTATTGACATTAATAATAATTTCACATTTTTTTAGCACTTTAAGGTTTATAAAGAGCTTTCCTCATAACAGTTCTGAACGATAGGTAGTACATACATCTCTGCAGTAGGGAGACTGAGGCATAGATGAGTTTGAGGACTCGTAAATGACTTGCTCCATGACACACAGCTAGAGAGGTGAGGCATGAAAAAAGATCTCTGATCCAAGATCAATACTCTTTCCCTTATACATATTCTCCAATGGTAGAGTCTCATATGAAAATCATTTTTGTATTCACCTTTGTTGCCAGTGTGACACCATAGGTAATCAATGGTTGAATTATGATATTGGGACTTTTTCTTTGGGGCAAGGGGAGACGGGATTTGAGTGGGGGTTGAGAGGGAGAGACTACAAACCTAACCTTGCCTCTGGTTATCACAGTTCAGTCTATTCTCCCCTGTCCAGTATAAACTAATCTAACACATCACAGTCCAGTAGATTCCCATCAGCTGTCCTCCCTTGACACTCATGTTGGAAGAAAGGAGACAGAAGAGTACAAGATATACTTCCATCACTGGGAGAAAAATAGTTCCTACTTCTTTCAAGTGAGCCTCCTCCATTGCCCTCTGACTTTCACACATTTTGCTTGACCTCTTGATCTTTATTTTAGATATTTGAAAATTGATCCTACCAATACTCAAGTTTACAGGGACCTCGGCAATCTTAAAAAATGTGATGGCTGGCAGGGGCTGTAGAGATGATGTAGTTTACCTTCACCTCCCTGATGTTGTGATAAAGAAACTAAGGCCCAAAGAGGTCTTGGTCATGGTTCTGGATGGTAAATTACAATCAGGACTCAGACCTAGTTCTTCTGAATTGAAGTCCATTAATCTATCAATCTGTCTTTCTAGAGGTCTTCACTTAAAGAGGGACTTTATGTATAGCACATAGTACTATAGTACTATAACATTTAGAACCGAAAAAAAAATAATTTAGACATCATATAAGTAAACCTCCTCACTTTGTTTTTGTTGTTCAGTTGTTTCAGTCACATCTGACTCTTCATAATCCCATTTGGGGTTTTCTTGGCAAAGGTACTGGACTGGTTTTCATTTCCTTCTCCAACTCATTTCATAAACAAGGAAACTGAGGCAAACAGGATTAAGTGACTTGCCCAGGGTCACACAGCTAGTTAACTGATTTGTCTATAGTCATGGAAGCAGGATTTTAACCCTGGTCATCTTCCTCTAAACATAATGTTCTGTCCAATTTGGGGTTCTATTATTTGAGAATAACTGATAGAAAGATTAGAGAAGAACAATTACTTAAAATTTGGAAAGTAACCCCCATGAAGAAAGCATAAGAAAAATGGATTTATTTAAAGAGACAAGTTTAAAGACTTTATGATATGATTCAAAACATTTTTAAAACAGACAATATGTGATGATTAATAATATGTATTGTTGACATTCTGTTTTTTTCTTCAGATAATATAATAAGTATAGTTAACTGGCAGCTCTCAGGAGTGTGGCCTAGAATGTTATACATTCATTTCCCTTAGGAGAAGGAATTTATTCCCCTTCCAGCATAGAAAAAAAAAATCCCTGACTAGAAAAGAGATTCTCTACTCTTAACCCCATCCCACCCCTCAATACAGAAGAAATCAAGGAGGTTTTCTGTTCTGGTCAGCTCATCAGTGAAAGAGTACAAGAAGAAGTCCCCTCCCCCCATGCTCCATGCATTGATAATGCATCTACATGGAGACAGCATGACTGGGAGCCACAGGGGAAAGAAACCAGTTATAAGATCAGGCATGCTGAGATGAGCCAAGGGGAAAGACAACGTTAAGCACAGTCTCAGTCTTTCACTGAAGTATCCTGCCCCAGGGGTAATAAAATAATACCTTCTAGCTATCCAGAGGTAGAGTCTTGAAACTAAGTAAGCTTTCAAAACTTGACTCTCAAGTTACAGAGAAGCTGCTTTTCCTCAGCTTCTCTGGTAAAAATCAATAATGAGGTTGCATTAATTTGGAAATAAAAGCTAAGAAATTTTCTTTATATTCATTTCTTTATGGTTCTGTCCCAATTAAATATTTCACTATTTCAGTGTATTATTCTTAGTAGATCTGATCTGTTAATAGTGGTAAGCAGGATATCTAGACCCAAGTTTGACATTAGAGGTTCCCAGATTCAAAGTGAGATGTGGGCTCAAGCTAAATAATATAATGATTAGCATCTTAATAACCCTACACTGAATCCACATTCATGAAAAATACTAAGTTGAACCATACAATTACAACAAAAAAGACCTCACATCTTGAACTGCAATTCAGATTTAAGGGAGTCAAAGAAGAACATCCTAATTGCAAATTAGGGAAAAATTTGTAAAGGTTTTAAGATACTATTAAAAGAGATTTTTGGAATCTCCTTTCCTGAAGGTTTTTTTTTTCTTTTAAATTTAGATAAATACATTTGATCAAAACCTTATATAGAGTAGTGAACTAGAGAGGAGTTCTCCCTTTTCTTTCTAATCTGACTATTTATTACCCTTTGAAGCAGAAATGGGCAACCCACAAACAGATCACTGGAAGTCTCTGTACTACCTTGTCATCATCCTCACAGGTCATGACATTGGAGAATGGAATTTCTGCTTTAAACATCTTCCGACAGTGCATTAGCTGGACCAATAAGTAACAGACCGTTTTGAACTTCATCCTTTTGGCTGGTTTTATATCTGAGAGAATAAGTCCAGGAAATATCTGTGCAAACAAACAAGAGGTAAAAAAAAAAAGAAACATTAAAGTAAGTCATAACAATCACATTGATAAAATTCAGATAGATAATACATTAATCTCTCCATGAATAAAAATGGATTCTAAAGATACTTCTTTGTCAGAAACCTTATTATCTGAAGCAAAAATAACATACAAGTAGTATGGATACATTCTTTCTAGAATGTCAGATAAGGAAGGAGGATACCAGGCAAACATATCATTAAATGCTAACAAAAATAATACTAAAAGAGGTGAAAAATATAAAATCGACATGTGAGAGTGCTGGGACAGAGGAAAGCATGGTTTGGGGGTATGTAAAAGTCAGAGTGAAGCTCAAATTGCTCTCAAATAGATAGGTAGGGAATGGAGAGGAGGGGACTAAATGGTTGGCAAGGAGTCTGTGAAAGGGTACCTTTCAAGAAATGACTGACAAGGGACATTTCATTTCCCCCTGTAGTTTCTGGGAATAGACCTCTAGTAAGAATTGGGAAAATAGAGAGGTAAGAAGGTGACAATCCAGCTGTGTGCCCTTAAATGGATTGCTATTCTCCACTCCTAAAAATCACTTTGCACCTGATTGCTAGTTTCTGTAAATACCTTTAAAAGCATAAACTATATAGATCTATAGAGAAATCTATACTCCTCTAGATAAAAAGCTGAGAAAGTTAAACCACAAATGCTAATTAAGGTATCACAATGAAATGTACTCACGTAAGTGCTTCCAATTGTAACCCAAACATTTTGTTTCCTATGTCTCTAATGTATTTATCATGGATAATACATGGCATGCCATTGTTTTCTGTGTCCAGTATGAGTCTTATCCTTATGTCAGACTTGCCTTTCCATGAAGATGAGGGGCTATCATATCTAAATCCAAGCACTGTATCACTCCATTCTCCCAGCATCTCATAGTGTTAATGGTACATTCTTCAAAAATGTTTGTTGAATTGAGTTGAAACTAATTGAAATGAAATAGCCAATAACATAGCTTGATAATGAAATTGTTCCCTGTCTGAATAGGTTAGAATGAAGTGGAGTCAATGAACAAGGTGAAAAAAACAGGTCCAGGAAACAGTGACCAGAAACACAGAAACACTATTTACACCTTTTCCTAGGGTCAATCTTAGGACTGTTTTTTTTTTTTTTACTTTCTTTGTAACCTCAGCATTTTGCACAGTGCAAGGCAGATAGTAGGTGCTTAATAAATGCTTGTTAACTGGAGTGTGAAAGAAGGGAGAGAAGAGAAGAAAAAAATATAGAGGGATATGCAGGTGTAATAAGGAAATGGCCAATGATGGCCTAGTCCTTAAAGCTTGAGCAATATTCCCTACTAACTTCCAGTTTAATACATGGGGCACTTGATGAGCCTTCTTCAGCTATGAATGACTGAGGAAATGGTGCTGTGTTGTTGATGAAGAATTTTCTAACTGGCTTCAGAATCTATGGAGCTGGCTCAACAGAAGCTGAGACAGAATTGAGTGGACACAAAATGTTTGAGTGACTTGTGTCTTTTCTTGCTTGGAAGCAAGCAAAGTAAGAAGTCATGCCAGTTACTGGATGGGGACATCCCTTCCCCCACCCAGCCATCAAGCATCCATGAATGAATGGTGCCTCTTTCTTTTGTCTCCGGTGGTTATTCTTTCCTGATCATAGATGACTGCATACTCAGAAATGAAATCCAATTGGTTACCACCTTGTAAGCCTTGAAAAGCTGGAAGAGACATCAGATACCTGACAAATGGAGCTGGTTGCAGGGTTGACCAGTAGCTGCAGCAGCTGAGTCCAATGAGGACCTTAAGTAACAGCCAAGAAATCTGCTTGACCCAAACCACAGTGTAGTAATCCAGCAGCTCAGTCCCACCTGATCAATAGAGTGACTTCTCTGTCACTCAGTGCCTCATTCTGAAACTAACTAGGTGGAGACCCTATGAGGGAAGAAAATGACTCCTATGACCAAGAGGTACCCCTTTGTGCTTCAAATTTCAGCCCATGGATGAGTGAGCCTTCCAGTTTGGGGAGATGTTTTTTTATAATTTTCTGTCCTTGTTATACTTACTCAGTAAGTGTGTCTTTGTAAAAGCTAATTCATGTCAAATGTCTGATTGATATTGGGGCCATGCTATATGGGGCCCATGATTGATATTATTAGAACATTCTAATCTCTCAGAATTACCATTAAAATTCTCAGGATACAATAGTCAGCTACTGTCTGGGGCTTCAATCACCAGAGGTGGTTGATAGAATGAAATCAGAAGGGAAGCTATGTGAGAATTCACTTAGAGGCAGCATTGCACATAGCAAACTGGCCTGGAAGGCAGGAAGACTGGAGATTCACATCAGCCTCTGCTTCATGCTGGCTATACAACCCTGGGTAAGTCACTCAGTACTTCAGTGCTATAGGCAACTCTAAGTGAGAAGGTGCTGGCCTGAAATAGTGGAATAAATTTCTTCATGTGAGATTCTGCTCTACCAATGAAATCACAAGGCAAGCACCTCTGCCCACTGGAGAGAAGGATTCCTAATATAGATTTTATTACATTGGAGTGTTCTTTCTAGGATATTTATTAATCAAGCTATTGCTGCATTTTAATTTTTATTCACATACATTATTTTTACCCAAGTCATTCCTTGACATGAGGAGTCTATACTATTAATAAATACAGAAATGAATAATGTCGCATTTCCATAGTGCTTAAAGATTAGAAAGCATTTATTTCACAATTATCTTGTTAGTAGTTAGTATGAGTATTATTTTCCCATTTTGCAGATGTGGAAACTGAGGCCTTAAAGGGGTAAAGTGATGTGTTTGGGGTCACTTAGCTGGTAAGTGGCAGAATCAGAATTTGAAACTAAGTCTTATAACTTCAAATCTATTTAGCTTGTTAAATACCCTATTCTCTCCTCTCCAAAGTAACAACTCAATTAATGAATATGGTACTGATTTGGTAAATGATGATGGATAACATAAGATCCACAGCATGATGGAAAGACATTGATTCTTTTACTTACTTTAATTATCTCTTTGTCTCACATCTAAGTATGAAACCTATAGCCAAACAGCCTATCCATGGCAAGCTTGCAACCTTGGGTCTAGAAAATTCGTATTAGAAATCAATCAACTTCTGCTTAATGGGCATTGAAAAATGATGGAAAAGTCAAGTTTCCATTTCAGCAATGACAACTTCATGCTTTCCTTGTCACCAAAGGGAGGAAAAATGAGTGCCTTTCTAGCCTATAAGCTGATTAGAATGCTTTAAGAATGGAAGGAGGAGAGTCATGAAGGTGCATTCAGGGCACTGGAACGATCCCTCCCCATCTTTTACTCCTCTATAGGGATGCTTAGGAGTGCTGGGGAATAGACAGATTGCTGTTGTGGGGGATCTGGTGGTAGATGTAGGGATCAGTCTTGGAAAAGAGAGAATGGAGTGTTAATAGAGAATTGGAAGAGTCTAGGTTAGGGAGAGAGAAGGGTGTAGAGCTTTTTTGGATGTCAAAAGATTGTGTGAGTGAAAAGGCAGAGTGGGAGATTCTGCTCAATGCTACTAAAGCTTTTGTCTTGGGTTGTGTGTGTGTGTGTGTGTGTGTGTGTGTGTGTGTGTGTGTGTGTGTGTGTGTGTGTGTGTGTGTGTGTGTGTGTGTGTGTGTGTGTGTGTGTGGGGTGCGCGCGTGCGCATTGGGGAGGGAAGGGAAGGGAAAGGTAACAGATACTTATTTCAACTCGAGTTAATGGCTACACTAGTCCCACCCAGCATATACCACTAAGTGATGGTGACAGCTGTGGGATCAGATATGGTTTAGTCTGCTTATCTCAATTGTACTGCCTAAGCTTGCTTCTGGCTCCAGTTTGAAGAACACAATGGTGGCCCTGGGCAAACTACTTAACAAAGCCTTTGAAAGACTGATTGATGAGTAAATGAAGACATAGATATGGATCAGTGTAGTCCCATCACAATTATAGACTCCAAGAGCTGGGGGAGACTTTAAAGATGATCTGTTTCAAAACTCAACTCAATGCAAAAATCCCTTCTATGCTACTCCTGGCTATCCAGTCTAGGTTTACATATCTCTAGATCAGGGAATCAGGAAGTGCTTGGTTTCAGTTCTGCCTTGAACACTTGTAAAATAAGAATAATAATACCTCTGGTATCTCCTTACAGGGTTGTGAAGAGGCATGAATAGGAGCAAAGACTTTTTTTAAACTTTGAAGTGCTATAAGCCTGTAAGATTTCATTATTAAGGAGATGACCCTGGCTCCCATGTTGGCTTCCAGTCCTACAGCAGGCAAAATCTTTACAGACCAAGCTTTATGAACATGCCATGTAGCTGTCAATCTACTGTAACAGAGCTGGGCAGCTAGGTAGCACAGTTGATAGAGTTCCAGGCCTGAAGTCAGTAAGACTAATCTTTCTGAGTTCAAAGCTGGCCTCAGAAGCTTAGTAGCTGTAGGACCCTGGCAAGTAAGTCACTTAACCCTGTTTGCCTCAGTTTCCTCATCTATAAAATGAGCTAGAAAAGGAAATGGCAAATCACTCCAGTATTTTTGCCAAAAAACAAAACAAAACCCAAAAGGGGCCACAAAGAGTCAGACACAACTGAAAAACAACTCAATAACAAAAATGTAACAGAGAAGCCCCTTTCCTCACCAAGAGACAGAATAGAATCCTCAGTCTGCCATCAGCATTGATATATTAGGAGGTTGATCAGATCATCTCTAAGGTTCCTTCTGGCTGAGATAAGAAGATACTAGGATCATAGATGTGAGAGTTGGAAGATCTGCTAATACCCCACCCCATACCCAACTTAGCAAAATATGCCATCAAACAGTTTCATTTTACTGATAAGGAAACTGAGGCCCATAGAGGTGAAGTAGCTGTCTAGCTTTTCTGCCATGCCACTTGCTTTACCTAAAGCTCTCTTTCTGAACTATTCCCCTTTCACACAGGCTGCTTTGCTCCCCTGGGGATTACCCCCAAAGAAGCCTACAG